CCCTAACCCCTAAACCCTTAACCCGAACCCCGAAAGCGCATGACCCTAAACACCAAACCTGTCGACCCCACAGGCCCTCCGCCCTGTACCCGAAGAGTGAGCCGTAGCCTGACATTCCTACCGGTAGTTCTCTAAATTAGGGTCCATGAGGGTCCCTTTAAGGGTTCATTAAAGGGATCTATAAGGGCTTCTATAAGGGTACTATGAGGTCTATATGGGTAGTTCTCTAAATTAGGATCCCTTTTGGGATCCTTTTTGTAAGGGTGACGTACTATCTTGGGGACCTAAAAAGAGACCCTAATTTAAAGAACTACCCTACTGGCCTCACATCCGAAGTCGAAGACCCAAAAGCTAGGGTTTAAGGTTTAGGGATTGGGGTTTTAGGGGTATGCTTCAGCCCAAGACTGCATACTCTAGCTGCATCCCCCCCTCGCCCGTGAACCTTCGAAACCCTAGACCACAAACCTTAAGCCCTGAAGCCCTGAAGCCTAGTGCAGAAATGCAAACCCTTCCGTCTTAGACCGGAAGCTCTGTCCTCGAAAAATCCCAAGCCATAGACCCTGAACCCCAGGCCGGAGACAGCAAAACCCACACCGCAAACTCTTGACCGCAAGCACCAAGCCCCTGTCCTTGCTTTGTCTTGAACCTTCCTACGAAGGACGAACGCATGCATCACGGAGGCCGTGCGATTGCACAGTCGGCCGCTCATGAGCTCAGGGCGAATTTGTGGCTGAATTTTTGTGGCGCACGGTCCCTAAACCCTAAACGGTAAACTCTATACCCTAAACGTTGAAGGCCTTCAGGTTTGTGGTCGGGTTTAGGATGTGGAGGGAAAGATTCAGGGCTTCAGGTGGTAGAGTTCGGGCTTGCGGCTCGGAGTTTAAGCTTCAAGGGCTCAGGTTCCGGGGTTTAGGGCTTAGGGTTTAGGGCTTAGGGTTTGGTGCTTAGGGTTTAGGGTTTGGAGTTTGGTGCTTAGGGTTTAGGAACTTAAGACTTAAGACACGAGGGCCTGAATAATGCAAGAAGCCCAGATCAAGGCGAGCTTCCAAGCTTGACCCCGCAACTCAAGCTCTAAGCCCAAAGCCCCAAAGATTGAGCCCTTCAGCCTTAAAGATTTAAAGCTCAAGAGGGCACCGAAACGTCAAGTCCTAAACCAGTTTAGGCCGTAAGCCCGGGACCTATCCCGAATCTCAAAAAGGCTCTGGGCAGGTGGGATGAATCTTTCAGTGTACTTCAAGGTTTCCTGAGGGTAATACTCACTATGAGGATGGTATAGGGGTTTAGGGTGTGAGGTTTGGGGCGGGTCGGGGGATTCCAAACCAGGAGCCCTCATGGGCTTTCGAGTATCGGGCTTATGTAAGGGATCCCCACTTTTCGCCCCCACCTTTCGGTGTTTCAGGACCCCCCTAAACCCTAAACCCTAAACCCTAAACCCTAAACTGAATCAAGTTCGATCGATCCTGGGTTTGAGCGCACCTTCGAAGGGGAAGTGGGGGTTTTGCTTACTTTCGAGGCCCGAAAGCCCTGAAGCTTCTGAGGCGACATCCCGGCCAAGCTGACGCTGAGAACCGTCCAATGCTCAGCTTTCTGCAATCTGCAATAAACCCCAAACCCTAAACCCAACTTGTGTTTGAGGCTGTTGGTTCATAGGGGGTGCTTTTGGGGTTTACGGTTGAAGGTTCATCATTCCGGGTCCTCGTTTTTAAGTTTTGATGTTGGGGTATTCCTAGTCGTTATGCATATATGTATCGTCTGGGCATGGCATCTGGGGTTTTGGGTGTAGGATCTGGGATTCCGCACACCAAACGCCCTACTACCGCGGGTCTGCAGAAGTCTTCTCCCTTGAGCCGTTATTTCTTGTGTGTTGATCTGCAGAACGATTGGTCTGGGTGACTTCCAGCACCGTTTCTGTCATGCAAAATGCCGGGCAAGGAAATAGCAGTGCACTTCGAAGTACGCTTCAGGATGGAATTCGTGACCCAACCTGCTCATACTTTGAGCTTTTTGGGCTTCAGTGATGCACCCCTGCACTTGCCGCAAGCATGGCCGCAATGCTTCGTGTTTGGCGAGTTTCGGGTGAAGAGTTAATTTCTATACCCGTGGAGGAGTTGACGGAGACGGACGCAGGTGAACTGAAGCGCCGCTTGCAAAGCGTGTGTGGATGGCCGAAGTCTTTCCAGAGACTCCTTCACGAGGGAGCGCCATTGGAGGACGATGCCCAGCTCGATTGCGCCATGGATGTCCAGCTCGTCATGCTGCCGCTCGAGAGTGGATCGGGTACCTCGCAGGACCAACTCAACTCCGCACTTGTTGATGCTGCCCGTGAGGGCGAGCTGGAGATAATCACCCAACTGCTGGAAGCTCGTGCTGATCTTGACGGATGTGACAGCACCGGTGCGCCACTCCATGCAGCATGCCGAAATGGCCAGAAGGAAATAGCGACCTTGCTTTTGGACCTCGGTGCAGACATAGACCGTGAGTCACCTTGGGGTAACACCCCTCTTTGCGAAGCCTGCGAGGGAGACCACGACGATGTCGTCGAAATGCTCGGGTTCAGAGGAGCAGATCCGAATCTCGGCTGTCCGCTTGTGATCGCGCAAAACAATGGCAACGATGACATAATGGAGATGCTCATTCATCAGTTCGGTGCTAGCACTGCATGCCTCCGACCGAACTTCCGAGATCACAGTCCAGATCGTTGGAGCTTCGGTTCTGGCTCCAGCTTCTGAGCCGAAGACCGTGTTGCCATGTGCCATGCTCCGTCATGTCCTCATGCTTATGCGGTCTGGGCAGGAGACCCCAAGGAACTTATAAGGCGGCGCGGTGTGAAACCAAGGTCTTGCACGGCGTGTGGTATATGTATATTTAAACATACTTATAAATAACTTATACATACATATACATAGACATACATAGACATATACGTTTACTGATACTTATACTTACACAGGTACATGTACATGTACACATACATGTGCACACACCTATGCCCAGGAGTACATATTTATACAGCATGTGCACACATATAAATGGTGTGAATGGTAAGACTTGAAAGAAAGATAGGTAGGCAGATAGATAGGGAGACAGACAGGTGGGTCGATAGATGGATAGACCGACAGAAAGTTAGATAGACAGACAGATCGACAGATATACGGAGAGATGGATAAATATGCGGTGTGGCAGGTTCTGGCAAACGAAGCCTAACGAGTGGTACGTCGTTAACCTCCAACAGCGCGAAGTTGCACCCTAGATGCACGCCCCTTTCGTTTTAGCTTAACGCTTGAATCAAAGCCTGGACCCTAAGCCGTAATCTCTACCCGTCAAAAGCCTCAGCCCGGCATCCGTGCACTAGCGTCTTTTCAAGGCACTTGGAGCGAGTTGGGTGAGATACGTGTAAGCTGCCAGCACCCATTTTGTGGCGCAACCGGTGAGCCCACGGAGGTTTGGGTGAATCCCTTTGGGCAAGCCTTGTAGAAGGAACCCTTGAAGAAACCCGAACGCTATTCTACTTATAAAGTCCCCTGTAATACAGTTGCCCAGACTGCGCTGCCAAAGCTCTAGCTTAAGAGCTCATGGAACCCGAAGCCCCAAGCAACCTTAATCCGAAGGCCCTGAGCCATATAAACCCCAAAGCTTAAATCGCAAGCCCTAGACCTTTAGCCACAACTCCCCCCCCCACCCTACAGCATAGCAAGCCTTATAGAACTCCTAGAATGCCCTTCTAGTCCTAGTATCTCTCTCTTTTTGTGCCTGGCAAAGGAGCCAGGAAGCCCCAAATCATGGGAGGCTGAGATCCCCATGGAGTTCGGCGGATTTAAGATCCCTCAGGGGGCCGCGGGCTCAGCTCCCATGGCTTTCTGTGCTTGGAGCCAGGAGTTAGGAATATAAAGGGATTCTGCATTAGGCCTCCCATTTTCTGACGCTCGGAAGTGTCGAGCTTCATGTATCTTGCAGCTGTAAGCCCGTTTACCCTCTAAACCTAGAGCCTTCGCACACGTTTAAAAACTCAAACCCTAAACCCCAGACCAAAGATCTTCGGGCCAACTCCCTCAACCCCGCAGAGCCCAAACGTTTCAAGACTTGGGTGCACGCCCTGAGCCTAACTCCTTGGGCCCTAAACCCTGAAAGCCCTAAAGATCTGAACCCTAATCTCTTCAAACCAAGAGCCCGCCCCTAAATCTGATTTCCGAGCTGCTTTGAATTGGGTTTTTCTCTTGAGTTCTTTTTTTGGTACCGGGTTTCGGGCTTTGGTTTGGAGACTTTTTTTTTTGTTTCGGACCGGAAATGTTTGGGTTTCGGCATTCAGGGGCAAGTAGGGTTCAGCACGCTCTAGGGTTCTTTTGGGATTTGGTTTCAGGATTCCCTAAACCCTAAACCCTAAGCCCTAAGCCCTAAACCCTAAACCCTTAGGGTCTCCCTCAAGGGTTCCTATCAGAGGCTCGTTGTGCGTTAAGGTCGATCAGGCTTTAGGCAGGTGTATGCTTCGAGCCAAGGTGACGGGCTTTGGGGCCGACCCGTGTTTAGGGGCTTAGGGGCTTAGGGGCTTAGGGATTTAGCCTATTAGGTCTCCCAGTGGGCAGTCTTTTTTCCCTTTTTGTGGTCTTAGATTCCTTATAGAACTACCCAATACCAAGAAGTCAGCCCTTTTTTATCATCCTAGGTTACTGGGGGTCCTAACCCTAAACCCTAAACCCTAACCTCTAGGGCCTTAAAACAAAACCCTAACCTCTGAGGCCACGATTTTCCTGTACGCCGATGCCGTGCACAAGGAGACGGCATAGTGCCAACCCTAGGCCCGGCCAAGGCGTAAATCAACGTCTTAGGAAGCCCTATTTTTAGGGTTTTAGGGGTTTAGGGTTAAGGGTTTTAGGGTTTTAGGGTTTAGGGTTTGGGGTTTTAGGGTTTTGGATTTAGGGTTTAGGGTTTGGGGTTTTGGATTTAGGGTTTGGAGATGCTTACAACCCCTGGAAGTGCTCTACAAAATCGTATCAATTCTTGAGCCGTACAAGACCTAGAAACCCGGAAAGCCCTCAGGACCCAGGGGCTGCGTAGTTCACCTCATGTGCTAGGGTTTAGGGTCTAGGGGTTTAGGGTTTAGGGTTTAGGGGTTTAGGGTTCAGGGGTTTAGGGTTTAGGGTTTAGGGTTCCCCTTGGCAGTTCCTGTCTGTGTACACTGTAGTTTGCCCCAAAACCCGATTCGAATCATCAAGGAACTTAGCTGCAACCCTACGGCTTTTTGCGCTGATATACCCCAAAGCACTAGTCTGACCCTGATAGCAAGTCCTCCCAACTCCTGCAACCGTTGCTTTTACACCTTACAAATAAGTGGTCTTGGATTTGGGGCGTGTAAGTCTTAATTCCAAGTTCAAGGGTTCTAGGGCTTCGCGGACAGGTTTTAGGTCCAAGTTTCGGAGTTCAGGGCTTAGGCGTAGCCCCTCCGCTAAACCCTAAACCCTAAACCCTCAACCCTAAACCGTAAACCCTCAACCCTAGACCTTAACGGTGTCGGGTTTGGGGGGGCTTAGGCTCAACGCCGAGCTTCAGCGGTTCGAGCTGCAGATTCAGAGTTTGACTTCGGCTTGAGGGTTTAGGGCCTAGGGCTTCGGGCTTAAACCCTAAAAAAAACGCTAAGCCTTAAAACCCTAAGCTTTGCCCTTTAAGCCCTAAAACCCTAAACCCTATATCCTAAACCCTAAACCCTAAACCGCAAGGGCTTCGGGCTTAGGGGTTTTAGGCCTCACCAAACTGACGCTCAAGGGACAACTCCAGGCCCGTGAGGCCCGTGAACCAGAGACTCGCACACTCCAAATCCCCAAATCCTTAAGCGCAGGGCTTAGGGTTTAGGGGTTCGGGTTTAGGGCTCAGGTTTTAGGGCTTAGGGCTTGAGGCTTAGGGTTTACGGTTTAGGGCTTTGGGTTTAGGGTTTAGGGGTTTAGGGTTTAGGGTTTAGGGGCTTGAGCCCTCAACCTTGACGCTCTAAGCCTTTAACCCCCAAACGAACTCTCAGCTTGCCCACGCGAAGCCTCTGAAGCTCTGAACCGTCAGCCTTTACACCCTCAGCCTCTAAACCGCCTAAACCCTAAACCCTAAACCCTACACCCTGAACCCTAAACCCTAAACCCTTAAACCCTAAACCCTGAACCCTAAAGCCTAAACCCTTAAACCCTACACTTTTGGTTTGTCCGAAGTTTCTGCGAAGGATGAGAAGTACTTTCCCGACGCTGCCGCATTTTGCCCGCACCGCTACACCGATCCCGAGGCTAAAGCGGTTTAGGGTTTAGGGTTCAGGGTTTAGGGTTGAGGCTCAAGCACACAGAGATCAGACGCAGAGGGACGAGGGTTTTTAGATCCGACGTAGAGGGTCGAGGGTTCTTTTAGATTAGACGTAGACGATGGTTGAGGGTTCCTTTAGATCAGACGTAGAGGGTTGAGGGTTCTGTTTAGATCAGATCCAGAGGGTTGTGGGTTCGTTTAGATCAGACGTAAAGGGTTGAGTTTCTTTTTTTAAGGAGGTTTAGGGGTTTAGGGTTGAGCGGTAGATGGTTTTCGGGGGTTTGAGGAGGTTTAGGGGTTGAGGGGTTTAGGGTTTAGGGTTTAGAGGGTTTTAGGGGTTTTAGGTTGTGTGTGGGCGAAGGGTGTTAGGGCTCTAGGCTTGAGGGTATTAGGAGTTTAGGGTTCAGGGTTTTGGGGTTTTAAGGTCCCAGGGTTTCGGGATCTCAGAGCTTTAGGACTTCAGGGTTTAGGGTTTAAGGTTTACTTTAGGGCGTGGGGTTTAGTTCGCGGAGATCCCATGAATTAATTTGGATCTGTTGGGTTTCTCAGTAGGAATCTGCTGTTTTGGTCGCATTCTGGCATATAAAGCTTGAATGGTCTGGGCTGTAGGCTTAGGAAGAGCCAAAGCCAAAGCTCCAAAACCCTAAGCCCTCAACCCAAAGCC